ATTGTATATTTAAAGTTGCTAGGAGTATATCTTAAAAGTTCTCATCACAAGAAAAAAATTGTAACTGTTTGTTGTGATGAATGTTAGACCTATTATAATGATCATTTTGTAATATATACATATATCGAAGCATTATGTTATACATCTGAAACTAATGTTGTATGTCAATTATATCTTAAGAGGAAATAGTAAAATTACACTGTGGGAGAGATGAGCTAATGGACTGAATTGGGAAATGAGGAAAAAGGAGTAATCAAGAATGACTCTTAGGTTTTATGGATGAGCAACTAGAAGATGAAATGTCATTTAGACAACTCTGCTGAGGTGGTGTGTGTGTTTTCGTGAAGTGAGAGATAATGGGTTCATAACTGGAAAAGACTGGGGTTAAGGATAGGTTGTTTTTTTTATCTGTTTATTTTGTGGGGATGTGGGAAGTGTCATTTTATGTTTATATGCTAATAAGAGTGATCAAATAAGGAGAAATTATCAATACAAGATAAAAAGGGGGATACTTGAAAAAGTCTTTGAGAAGAAAATAGGATACAGAACATAAGTGAACACGTTAACATAAAATGGGAAAAGGCAACACTTTCAACCAACTCATAATTTTTTTTAAAAAGCCAGTTTCACTTAAGAATTTCCTTGATGAAGCAGTAAAAGTTATTAGTTATATTAAGTTTTGACCCTATAGCACATACCTTTGTAGTATTCTGTGTGGTGGAATTTTAAAAAATATGTTTCTTTCGTTGATTTCAAAGAGAGGAGGGAGAGATAGAAACATCAATGAGAGAGAAACATCGATTGGCTGCCTCCTGCATGCCCCCTACTGGGGATGGAGCCTGCAACCCGGGCATGTGCCCTCACCCGGAATCAAAAAAGCAACACTCAACCACTGAGCCATATAGGTTTGGGCAATTTTTTGATTTACTACTTTTTATGCTTTGGAACTAAAAGCAAACTACTGTGCTATACACAAATTCTAATATACTTATAAAATTACAATTATGGCAGGACCTATTTTTTTGTTTTTGTTTTTCAACATTCACCTGAAAATGTTTTTCCATTGATTTTTAAAATTTTTTAGATCGAGAGGAAGAGTGGGAGGGAAGGAGGGAGAGAGAAAGAGAGAGAGAGAGAGAAAGAAAGAGAGAGAGAGAAAGAAAGAAAGAGAGAGAGACACTGATGTGAGAGACACATTGACTGCTTGCCTCCTGCACGACCCCAACTGAGGTTGGGGATAGAACCCACAAGAGAGATATGCGCCCTTGACTGGGAATTGAACCGTGACTCTTTGGTCCATCGACTGACGCTCTAACCACTGAGAAAACTGGCCAGGACAGGACTTGGTTTTTTAATCAATGTTAATTATACTGCGCCTGAATTTTGCCAGGCCCATTTTTATGGTGTTAGATGCTGACCGACAAGAATGTTATTTCCAGACAAAGAAGCTGGCACTTGCAAAACATTGGTAAATGGTGCTAAAAACAAGACACTTTGCTTTCTTCGCCTGCAGCACCAGGCCAGCGCACGCCTTCAGACAGCAGTGACGGGAAGAGGGCAAGCAGGCCGTACTAATCCTCTCAGCTCTTCAAACAACCCTGGAGGATTTCTACTTGAAGGCCTGTCTTTCTAAGCTTGTGCTTTCAAAACTTGGGCTGGACTGATCCCAAATACTGAAGTAACAAATATTACTAAATTCTGTCATTTCCTCTACCAAAAAAGTGATTTTACTACTACTTCTGGTTGTGATGAAAGGTCCTATTGACTATTCATTCAAACCCTTCGCCGCGTTGTGGATGCGGTATTAAATGACTTCACTACTTCTTCCCTGGCACTTTAACACACGCCAGTGCTTTCATCCACCTCCACCGGCGTGGCGCACAGATTGCTGAGGTGGGGCCGTTCTAACAGCATGATTTGTTCACATCTCTAGAGATGGGGTATAAATGAGACTGGCTCAGAAGACAAACTCCCCTTTGACAACATGTATTGATATATATGTATAGAAAAATAAACCTTCAAAAGTTAGAAATAGCTTATTGATACACTACCTGGTTAGGAGCCATGGTAATTAATGGTTCTTTGATTTGTTATAAGTGGAAATGTAATAAAGTGATAGTAGAAAGGCCAAAGACAGAAAGAAACATTCCCAAGAAATAGTAAGAGGTGGAAAAGAGTTGAAGCAAAGAAAGGTTAAAGGTCACAAATTTGTTAAGTTTCTTTCTAAATGCTAAGAAAGGGGCTTCCTGAGTGAACTCTGAAATCTAAGGAAGTCTGTTTATAAAAAGTTTACTGTCTTCAGCCCTGGCCGGTTTGGCTCAGCGGTTAGAGTGTTGGCCTGCGGTCCGGAGAGACCCGGGTTCAGTTCCCGCTAAGGGCATGTACTTCGGTTGCAGTTTGTCCCCAGCCCTGGTTGGTCGTGCGGGTGGCAGCCACTCGATGTGTCCCTTCACGTCGATGTTTCTCTTTCTCTCTCTCTCTCTCTCTCTCTCTCTCTCTCTCTCTCTCTTCCTCTCTCTCCCTCCCACTCTATCTGTACAAAAAAATGGAAAAATGTCCTCGGGTGAGGATAAAAAAAAAAAAAAAAAAAAGTTTACTGTCTTCTTTTAAAACTGCCACAAGAGTTATTTTAAAAACACCAGAACCCTGGCCAGTTTGCTCAGTGGTTAGAGCATCGGCCCGTGGACCAATGAGTTGTGGGTTCAGTTCTGGCTAAAGGTACGTACCTGGGTTGCAGTTCCTCACCAGACCCAGCTGGGGTCATGCAGGAGGTAACCAGTCAATGTGTAGCACTCACGTCGATGTCTCTCTCTCTGTCTCTCTCTCTGTCTCTCTCTCTCTCTCTCCCTTCCCCTCTCCCTCTCCCTTTCTCTCCCCCTCCCTCCCTCCCACTCTATCTGAAGGTAAATAGAAAAATGCCCTTGGGTGAGGACTGGGAAAAAAAACAAAACAAAAAACCCCCCAGAGAGCAAGATCTGGATTTATAGTGGTTAACATATGAATCTTAAACACATACACAAGTGTAATCTCTCATTTTCAAAAATAGTATCAAGTTACAGATGATACAAATTACTAGAAGTAATCCATTTTTAAAACAGATGAATAAACTAGTTCAACGTACTGGTGGCCTTGGTTCAGTCAAGAATAAGGTCAGAGGCTACTTGGGAAGTGCTCCAAAGTGCGGACCAAACAGATACTAAAGCTAAGAGTCTGGCGTGGAGGGCTGACTTCACCAAAGATTCCGCTGCACACAGTCAGCCTCCAGCTTTGTCCTGTTTTCAAAGCAAGCTGGGCTATTCCCAGCACCTCTTTATACCAACTTTTGGAATTCATACTGGGCCCTAAGAGAAAGAACTAAGTGTGTGTGCATGCACGTGTGTGTGTGTGTGAAGCTGGGATTTATGAGGAAATCCAGGCATTTCGGCTCTGGGCTTAATCTAGGAGTAGGTTTCACCCAGAATCTTCCAACAGACTTCTGACCCTAGGGCCTAGGTGCTTACAGAAAGAAAATAGAGCAAGATTCTGATCTGGATGCAGATCAGAACTCAGTTCTACTAACTGAGGCCAACGTTACTGATAGGATATCCTGACTCCCAGACTCTGGACCCTGGTAACCATGTCCTCTAATGTACTTAGACCTTTTCTTCCTTAATGCACTCTTGGTCTGGTCAGTTCTTGGCCAGTTCTGTCTAAGCACTGCCTTTCCCATGGTATGACAACTGTGATCGATAATGTGAGCTTGGCAGCCGTGAAATTAAAGTCCTATTTCTTAGACCAAGATACTTTTCTGCCAAAAACAGAGGGCAGGAAGCATCGGTTGCGGGAAGAATGGCACATGGAAAGCTGAGTCACGGGCCAGAGGCTGTGAGCAAGGCCGCCGGCTGGAGTGAAGAGCGTGAGCCGGAGTGGAGGTAACAACGGAGCAGCGTGGCTGAGAGGGCAATGCGTGTGAGGCCATAAATAAAGCAAGTGATTGAGGGCTGCAAACTAGAAATCGGACCCAATGGCAGAAAAGGATAAGAATCTTAATAAAAACCAAAGTGAAAAATAAAACATTAAACTGAGGTTAGATGAGGCAAAGATGATACCATTTGAAGGAATAATTTTAGATCTATCAGGAATGACTAAGGGAATTGTTTAGTGAATCTTTAGATGCATAAAGATAAAAGGCAATTTGGGCTCATATAAACAAAAGAATCATGAACCTTATTGTTTCTATAAAGTGGAGAGGTTTGAGGATACAGTTGATAATGTCTTTAAATAACAGCCCAAACCTGGATACTCATCCATGTACTCTTCCAATTGGAAGGATGTCCAAATAAAAACAAACAACTGGAATTTATGGGATGTCTACCTCTTGAAGTAGAGCCAAGAATGCTAAAGAAATGATGCATAGTTCCTCAGGAAAATGCACATCCAAGGAAGCCTCTGTTAGTCTTTCTACAGCATTTGGAAAGATATTATTTAACTAATATATTAACTGGTGTGATGTGGAGAGAACCATAAATATCCAAGATGGGCTGGAAGGACCGTGTGATTGGTTTTTTCTCTTTGGCCCTGGATAATAAGGTGAGGAGACCATTAAGGACTTGCCAAAGCCACTAAACGTTTTATTCCATAAACAATCCCCAGTGTAAAATGAGTCCCTAGAAGAGGTCTAAGAGAAGACAGCTATGTGAGGAAAAAGCTATTATTACTGGTCAAGTTGCAGAGGCAAGAGGTTATAAAGCCCACATTCAAGTTCAATCTATAAGCAGCAACAACCCAGTAATGGGCTTCTGAGTTTAGTAGGAGAATTCTAATTTGTACCCACTACTTCTCTGTAGTATTTACGATGGCACAGAATAAGACTGTGGCCAAAAACCAACTTTGCATTAACACTGTAACAGGTTTAATAAAACAGTCCACTGTAGTACTTATTTATAAACCAAGAGGGTTAACAATCCAAGGAAGCAGGGTGTATGTGGGAAGTAGGAGCGGAGAGAAGAGGGGTTACTTACCTGTGCTATATTTTTGTTCAGAAGATAAACACCGTAATCAAATTGCAACTTCTCCCCTCCTTTTGGGTATAATGGAAACCTAAAAAAGATTAAGTAGGATCAGAGTTTTCAAAAACGTGAGTAAAACAACTTCAAAGTTGTTGACAAAGGTGGAAGTTTCTTGGATCGAGCATAAACATCTAAAGACTTGGACTAAATCACTTAGTTATAGTCTTTGCAAGCTATCATCTTAACATCTTCATTTCATTAGTCAAATCAGAACAATGTCTGCTTTGTTTCAAAGAAAAAACTAAATAGGTCATGCAACAAGAGATTAATATGTTAGAAAGTGCCCCCCAACCCCAAGGAGTTGAGGCTCCTGTGTTTCATATTTATATATCATAACCATACCACCCTAAGATTAAGATCCTAGAAAATTTTTCCTCTAATGCCTTGGACCCAACATTTCAATTTCTGCTAAATGGGAAAGGAAGATTAAGAGAAAAAAAAATTAGCCCTGGCCGGTTTGGCTCAGCGTTTAGAGCGTCTGCCTGTGGACCTGAGAGTCCTGGGTTCGGTTCCCGCTAAGGGCCCGTACCTTGGTTGCAGTTTGTCCCCGGCCCCGGTTGGGGTTGTGTGGGTGGCAACCACTCGATGTGTCTCTTTCACATCAACGTTTCTCTCTCTCTCTCTTCCTCCCTCTCTCCCTGTCCCTCTATCTGAAGATACATGCAAAAGTGTCCTCGGATGAGGATTAAAAAAAAAAGAGAGAAAAAAAAAAATTAGACATGAAAGCAATACATACGATTTGGTTTCATTTAAGCCAGCAGTCAAATCAACAGCACCAATATGAGTGAAAATTCATTCATATTTGCAGGGGTGGCTATTTGGAAGTTATGTCTCCAAGGCAATGTACTCATGCCACAGAGCTCTCATAAGACTTTCCATTTTAACCTGACTCAGCATGAAATCTGTGGATCTTTATAAAGACAATGAGTTATTCTAGGGAATAAGTTTCCCTCACTATTTCCCTTTTCCTACTCCCACAAATGAAGAAGAAAAGGTTACAGTATACCTACTTAGTCATATTTTCCCGATTCTTAAGACCAAGCCTAGCTTTTATCCTCTCAAACAGATTTCCCTATATACAGATCAATCACAATTTAGGGTCAAGAAGGAAACTTGTTTTGCAATGTACAATTCTTCTCAAGAATAAAAGTATCTTACTGAAATGAATGGTAGGTGACAATTACTGGATATTCTTAATATCAACTGCCTAAGGAAAAGAAACATCCCATAAAGCTTGGAGGATAGTTTTCTAGGGAAAATAGAAGGAAACAGAATTTGAAAACTTTATATAAATTCTCAGAAGTTGCTGATTGCATAGCGTCCAAAAGGCAAATCTGTTGTGCTGTAAATTTACAGGCACTGGGGAGTGAGCAAGGCCATGAACTGTTTTTATTCTGCACTAAAGGAACACCAAATGTTTGACACACCCATCAAGAAGACACAGCTTTGTACTTAATTGAAGCAGTAAAACATAAACTATGATATGTGGTTTGGTCCTAAATTCAGATGCATAAAAATGACAGCAAAGCAAATTCAGGATAAGCAAAGTGCAACACCAGGCTTTCACAGTGTCTGAGAATCACTCAAATTTGCACTGGGCAGGTTGCAAAGAAACTACCCACTTAAAGGACATAACAACATGGGAGCACTCTGGAAGAAATCTACTAGAGTCCTAAAGCTCAGAACTTTGTAGTTGTTATTTTTTCTATTAACCATCATGTGTAGACTATCTGCATAGCTCTCCAAATCCACAAACATTTCCACTTTCAAATGATACATACAGAAACTGTTTCAAATGTTGAAAGGGTAAATTGAAATAAGCACTCATTGAAAATAAATCCTCTAAATGCCTAAAAATGGATTTCACAACGTTGACTTTATTACTTCAGTGGGACTTCTTTATAGAAAGAACCACAAGGTGTGTATGTAACATTAAAACCAATCTAGAGAGTGATTAGAGCCAAAGGTTCAAATAGGGCAATTTTAAGATAGATCAACTATTAGGACAGAGTTCACATCTTAAATTGCTTTGAAATTCTTAAGTGGTCATTTCAAGTCGAATAGTTATAAGATCTTATAACTATTACACATTCATCTTACTTAACAAAAATGCATGGATTGGTAGTGGATTTGTAGATCTATTAAGCAATCTAGAAAAAGGAAATTTATTTAAAAGGGTAAAACCTGTTACCATCAAGACAGAAGACAGAAATCAAAAGCATGTTAGTTCATTACAGATAACCACAGTAGCAAACTGCAGACAGTTTAGATAAAAATGTGGTCATTCAAGTACAACCAGAAAAATGTCCTTAGCAAAGCAAATAAGATTCATTAAAGGGGAGTATTACATTAAATAACTGGAGGAAGAATGATACATTTCTTATTATTAAACACTTACAGAAAAGGCAATTAAAATGAGCAATATCAAATTCTTTTAAAAATTAAATTAAATTATATTTCCAAATTGTTTGAAAAATTCACTGACTACATGGTAAAAATTAACAAATTAGAAAGCAATAAATAGATTACATGTGAAGATCATTTGGAGTTCTTTAGTACACAGTAATTTGAGTATGAATAAATAATTATGTCATGACTACCACAAAGCTAATATGATCCCAGTCTGCATTAAAAGGAACAGAGCAGATAATTAATTAGGGAATGTACTAGTGCCAACTACTATGTACTGAGTCCAAGTATACTGAGAGATCTATGTTCATTTATGGAAGTTAATTGTTTTTACAAGTATACAGATAAATAATTGGAACCTTTCTTATAGATTATGTTTCTTATTGGTTTTATACAATCTTATTTGACTATAAAAAGCATGCAGTGAAGTAAAGTGGCCCAGTGTTTCTGTTACTTAAAAGAAAATGCCTTGCCTTGGTCACCTACTTAGTAGAAGAAATATAACCTCAGAATTAGGTATTCAATGATAAATTCAGTGTTATTTTTATTGCCTCCCAGTCCTTTACAAAAGATCAACCAGGATGATTAAAAGACCAGAAGCTACAGTTTTGAGGGAAATGACTGAAGGAATCAGAGGAGTTCAGCCTGGAGTATAGAAGTCTCAGGGACAAGTAAAGGGCTTTCAGAAAGAAAAAAGGTTGGTTTTGTTCTCATGGCTTCAAGCAAAGAGAACCAGAGTTAATGGTAGAAGTTGCAAGAAAGTTGATTACATCACAGAGTTAGTTTAAATCCAAAAGTTCTTTTTTATCCTCACCCGAGGACATTTTTCCATTTTTTGTTCAGATAGAGTGGGAGGGAGAGAGAGGAAGAGAGAGAGAAAGAAACATGGACATGAAGAGGACACATCGAGTGGCCGCCACCTGTATGACCAACCAGGGCCAGGGACAAACTGCAACCGAGGTACGTGCCCTTATCGGGAACCGAACCCGGGTCTCTCTGGACCACAGGCCGATGCTCTAACCGCTGAGCCAAACCGGCCAGGGCTAAATCCAAAAGTTCTTATAGAGGACGCCAATCAGAGGCTGGTCAACAAACAATAATCAACATGTATTCAGGGGCTTTAATGGGCTGAATGGTGGTCCCCAAAAGATATGTCCATTTCTTATTCCTTGGAACCTGTGAATGAGACTTACCTGGAAAAGGGGTCTGCAATTAAGTGAAGGATTCTGAGATGAGATCATCCTTGACTATCTGGGTGGGCCCTATGTCCAGTACATTTCCTTTATAAGGCACACAGAGAGGAGGGACACAGAGGAAAGGAGAAGGTCATGTGAAGCTGGAGGCAGAGATTAGAGTCACACGGCACAAGGGATGCGTTCCAGCAGCTGGAAAGGGCAAGGCGAGTTTCTTCCCTTGTGCCTCTGGAGGGTGTGTGGCCCTGCTGACTCCTTGATTTCAGACTCTGGCCCTAGAACTCTGAGAGAATAAACTGCTGTTGTGTTGAGCCCCCAAGGCCATGGTCATTTGTTCCCGCAGCCCTAGAGAGGGACACCTGGGATCGAACACGGGATGACCCACTGGACTAGATGAGGCATAATATCTCCTCCATCTCCAAGATGCTATAATTCTGGATATGCAAAACTAATATACTAATGTAACTTCTTCCTTCCTTCAGAAACCAAGAAAACATTCCAAGGCTATAATGTCAAACGGTCACCATGACAGGCATCAGCTAAGGCTGCAAAATGGCCCACTGACGTCAACGTATGTGAGAAAATGCGATTTGTGGGCTCCAAGTAGAAACGTTTTAAAATTAAATTTCTGGTATATGTGTGTGTATAGAGATGTATGTGTATTCCACCTATTTTGTGTGTGTGTGTATGTGTGTGCATGAAAAATATGTCTCAGTTTGGGGAAATAATTGTAAAAGAAACTGATATTGGATCATTCTTATTTTTAAAAAATACAATTATTATAAGTGCTACCTTCTCTTCCCCCATCTAGCTATTTTATGAACAACTACAAATTGGTGAGTTTCTTGTCTTCACCTTCAAAGCCCCACATCCAGGTCTGGTTCTTTGAGGGCTTGGCTGGGGATGAGGATATGGCTATAGTTAATTTAAAATCTGTATTATGCATATTAAGATCACGTCTGCCCACAGTAGAAAAATGTAACAATACACAGTCAATATGGCCTACGGTCATGACTTCACTTCAAACGCAATCTACTTTTTCTGTCCCGATTAGTTTTCCACAACTTTTATCAGTTCTTCGGGCTCAGGGTGACATTCCATTTTACCCACCTTCTGTGCCTTTTACATACGCAGTGATTCACCAAGTCAACACATTATTTTTCCAGTGGAACGGTCTTATCTCTCCCCTCCCGCTGCCGCTCCGGAGGTTTTTGTTGTTCTGTGCACTCAGTAGGAAGTTAGCAGCATTCCTGTCCTCAACTCACTAGGAACCAGTATTATTATTTAAGACTTTATTTTTTATCATGTCCCTTCTCAGACCTGCTTGCTAATCAGTCACTGTCTTAAATTTTAACTTCTCTGCCAACTTTCAAGGCCCAACTGATCTGACCTGTCTGCATGATTTATCTGTAAGCTTATTATGCTCAAG